TTATTTTATTTCATCAGATTCCCTGTTTTGCTAATTTATACCACTTGATTATTTTGATATGGAATAATGCAATGCTACTTTAGTAGTGTCCAAGAATAAAAAATATTAAGCTGAAATGAGGAAAACCTGAATGTGTGACCATTTTTGTCACATTTGTGTGAAACTTACAACTTGAACCCTGCTGGGACTTGCTTGTTGTTGCCATGGTGACTCATGTTGCTGATGAAGTCAAGAGAGGTTTGGTAAAATGAGCTGAAATGAAATTTATTTTGTTTAATGGTTTATATGACTATTTTAGATATCTGCTGATAAACACCAGCAGTGGATGAAAATGTTTAAACTTTGCAATGTTTTACCTGATTCCTGTTTTCTTAAAGCACAGCATGATGTGCTCTCTGAGTCAGTGCTCTTATGCTCTTGTTATTCATTCTCTAACACTTGGCCTAAATTCAGTGTGGACTCATTCACACTCTCTGGTGGGTTTTCTAGAGTACTTGCATTGACTGTGCCCACAGTGCACTGGTGTGTGGCACTAATCTGAAGCTCTGCAGACTTGTCAGACTGCCACTAGTCACAGAAGGTGCTGTGCCTAGCAGCTTAATGCCCAGCCAAAAGAAGAAAGCCTAAACAATTTTACACCACTGCATTACAATCTTACAATGGCATTGGACAGTTTAAACACATGCACAGGAGACACACAAGTCCACATGTAAAGATATTCAACGATTTATTGATTGCTGGGCATGCATGGACTGATGAAGGTCATCTTTTCTTTATCGTCTGAGGTTTCATCAGGGAGAGGTTCCGAAAGACAATACAAAACAAAGAAAAGAAATCAGAAAGAGGAGGGGAAAGCACTAAGCTAACAAGTATAAGTAACGCAATGTATTGCTTCGTTTTTTGTTGTGGAGATTTCAGAGATTCTCTTTACTTAAAAATGAAAATGGAGAAAAAGCTTCAGAAGTCTATTCATCCATCCATTTTCTGCCACTTATCCAGTGGCAGCAGTTTAAGCAGCAATATCCAGAGCTCCCTCTCCCCACCTGTGATATTCACCATTTGGCTTCAGCTGTGCCGTCAATGCATTTCCAAGCCAGTTGAGATCTCTTTTATAATCTCATTATTTTGGGCACAAAAGAAGTGGCAGGCCTATGGCCCTACAGCAGATGAACAGAGTATGAAAATCATCTCCTTAAGAAAGAGAAAATAACCCAATAAAGACCTGAGATGGGGCTAGTTGATGCATCTACTGCTTGATAAAACTTGAAATCGTCTCAGTGAAGGAGTAGCTGTCCAGAAGGGAAATGGGGAGAGAAAAGGCTGTGTTATGCCAAATTACACAAGAAATAGACTGAAGACCAGTGGCAACAGATTGTATGGAGTTAGGATTTCACATTTGATCTTTTGTTCCAAATCATTGTTGGTATGTATGACAATAATGAGGATACACAATGATCTGTAGAACACAGTAGATGAAAGCTCTGTCATAGTTGGTCTGCATTTTTAGCCAGTGGTGTTGGGGGTCTTATCAAAGGTAATCAATTATGAAAATAGAAAGGTCCTGTTAGATATTAATCCACCATGCAATATGATCTGGAAAGTATTTGATTGACATTTTTCAGCATGACAGTGATCCCAACCACAGTGTGAATGCACTAGAAGCATACCTGGGTAGAGAAATAGACCATATTGAAACTAGAGCTATCAACGTTAACACGCTAATGCGTCATCACGATTAAGTCAATTAAAATTTTTAACATATTTAACCAATCTGCAGCGCAGAATGGACAAACTTTGGACAAACTGCCCGTTGACAGAGACATTTCAGAGATTTTGAGTCATTCTGCACTCCAGATGGGTTAATTTAGTTAAAAATTTTAACTGTGTCAATGGTGATGACAGATTAATCAGTGTTAATGCGTTAAGGTTAACATAACGTTGAAAGATAACAACGAAAAAGTGTGTGCATTTGTATTTGTTTCTATATTCTGATTGCAAAAGCTGTCAGACAGGACCGGATATTATTAAAAATAAATAAGTAAAAAAATAAAAAACGCCAGAGAGCCAGAAGCCAAAGAAGCGCTTTGGAGTGCCTTCAAGAAGTCTGGAGAAAGAATCCTGAAAAAAATGAAAGACATTACAAGAGCTCACCTAAGACACTCAAGCTTTGTTGAAGAATAAAGAGTTTGGCTTTTATATTGTATTTACATGTATGTTTGCCGGTTTCAAAAAATTACTGCACCCATTTCCTATTTTCCCAGCTAAATATAAAAAATGGGGCTTGGTTTCAGAATTTTGCACTGCTGTATTGTAGGGAGGAACGTAGATTAACTCTTAAAAAAAAGAAAGAAAGCTAATTGCTAATTAGACATCCTGTTTTTTTCTGAGTTTTGCATGATCTGACAGGGTGGAGTTGCTGGGACGTCCACTCTGAGGATGATTGGAGCAAAAGATATCAAATTTGGATGCATCACTCTAATCAGACCTGTTGCCTCTGATTTTCAGTTCAGTTCTTACACCAGGAATTTCTCCCTGTTTCCCTTCTTTAAGAATGGCAGCCACCTTTCCCACTGAGACCGTTCAGATTGATCAACTAGTAGATTTTTTTTGACGCCTTCTTGGAAGAAAAATATGAAGTGACAAGGGGTCAAGACTTTTGCACAGTATTGTGTATGTATATGTATCCCTCTTTTGAAGAAAAATTAAGAACTTGACAGTCTGACCTTGCTAAACATAGCAGGTAAGTAAGTGAAATTTATTTATATAGCACTTTTTAAGACACAAATCTGTTACAAGGTGCTTTACTGGGAATCTAAAACAATATTATAATAATCACATGAACAGCTAGACAGCAGTTCCCATTCCATTTATTATATATGATTTATAAATTGACACACTCAGACACTCACATTGAAAGTATAAAAAATACAAGACTACAGAGTTTTCTAGACTTTTTAGTGAGGTCTCTTCTTCATTGCTTTAATATATTATTTTAACTTAAATGACAAAAATGGGAAATTCCTATTTTTCTTAGGATAGTTTTGACAAATCCATTCATCAAGCAAGTTACTATCATTTATGTCATTTTAAAATGATATCAGGGCATAGAAAACAGAATCACATGCAGCCAGCAACTTTTTACTGAATCTATACAGCACATCCTATAAATAAAATTGACTTTCGAATATATGTGCTTCAAGTTTCATTGTACTTTGTATTACAAAATGTAAGGAAAGGTGATATCACAAGGGAAAAACTGAAATGTCAAGGAATGATTAAAGGCTGGGCTGACTTTTGAGCACTAGCTAACTGACAGAGTCATGACTTTTTCAAATACACAGGTCAAAAAAGGGCTTGGCTGAACAATTTTCAAATTGCTGCAACACATGACTGATTCTTTAAAACTGATTTAAAAATGTAATCACTGTGCTGGCAGGCATTTGAGATTTAGATACTACAAAAGCAAAGTCGAGAAATGTTCTACGCTTACAAATAATGAACCAACATGGTTGAAGTGTCTTTCACACACCAGGTGACAGTAGCACCTTTGCGCTCTGGAACGCATTCTTTTCTATAGCTTGCATCGTGCAAGAACAGATTACCATTGCGTCAAGCAAAATGCAGTGCAAGCGTGGCAGCTGTGGAGCACTTCTGCATGCGGTGTAATGGAAATTTGTACAACCAAAAGAAAACACAGAATGATGGGGAAAGGTTACACATTACACATAAAGATCACAAGTGGTTGCAAAATAATAATTTTGTAGTACAGACCCAAGCACAGCACAGCACAAATTTTGAGCCATTCGCTCAACCTAGCAATCAGTGCACAAGCCACTTTCTATGTGAAATGGTTTCATTAAGAAATATTTCTAAAACTTCTGAAAACAATGAGTAATATGTAATGATTCCAGTTTGCTAAAACCAAAATAGGAGGGTGTAAGACAGATGAATTAAAACTAGTGCAGCACAAATACACAGCTAATGTCTCCTTTAAACATGTATGTACCATATAGCTACTACTCTGGCTCACCTTGCTCTAAGAACAATAACCTGCTCCTGCTGTTTACTCATATAGTTTCATTTATTAATATATCTAAAAAATACATAATTTATCGATATCAGACCATTTTGTATGTGCATGGTTTTGTTTGCTTATTTTTGTTGTAGTAGATAACACTCACTATTCACAGTGCTTAAAACTAAACAGTACAGGCCAACACACACAGTGTGGCTGATAGCTGGCACCATTCCAATATCCATTAAAATGTAACTCAAGCCCAATACTGTTCAGCTGATTTTGCAAAGCACCCATGAACAACTACTGAATTGAGCCACTCTCCAAAGTACTGTCTCGGGAAAGAGGAAAATAGTGTTTTTGTAAGTGTAGTATTCCTACCAAAGCAGCATACATACATCAGTTTTTGTTTTAAATCTCACTTCAGAGTTGTCTTATTATGAGTATTTATACTTCCATCAAAATTTTTAATATTTTAGCTCAGTTGCAGCTATTTTTTTTACATATAATATAATATAATATAAAATAATATAATATAATAAGAGAAACTAAAATTTCTGTAGTTAATTCGTGAAATAACCTTGCATAGGAAAGTTATATAGTTACGAAAATTATAAATAAATTTCATTTTTTCAGCATGGTATTCACTCACAGAAACGGACAATCATTTAAAGAGTCTATAATTCAAAGAATATACAGAACTTGTTAATTTAAATAAAATGAAAACACCAGAATTTTCCTTTGTGCACACCTTAGCAAAAGAAAATGTATCATAAATGATCAGCGTACTAATAATTAAATTTTATTTAAATTAAGTGTGGCTGATAAAAGGTATGTTAAAAAAATGTAAAAAATGTATTTTACTCATTCTGCACCTGACAGGAAGTATTCTGATAAAGATTAATACTGACGAAGTAAACATGAATATATATATTATTTTGATAACAAAATAGTTATCTACAAATGTTTTGTTATTGAGTGGATATATAAATATGTATAACAATATATATGTATTTCTATACATATATATTTACAACTAAAGGTGCACTTAAATAATGTCATCAAGGAGATGTGGGGTGCCTATCCAATCCAACGTCCTGGGCTCTGAAGCAGCCATAATCATGCACATAAACTGTTTACCAGTCCTCTTATCAATAGGATAGATTGTAGTAGGAGTGAATCTTCTGTTACTTTCCACAAACTCACAGAGCTGCTGATACACTTGTGGGTATTCGTGGCGTAAGAAAACCCCTCGAATCCTTAACTCTCGTTGTATATTAATGAAACAAATTTCTCTGGCCTTCCGGCCTTCTTCTCCCTCTTTGTCGAGATCTGCTGTTCCTGGGGGTGGAGTAAGGATCAGTGTTTCCATGTCACTCTCTTGCTTGTGAACCTTTCTCTCTGGGCTAAACGAAGCCAATGCTACTTTTGCATATTTTCTGACAGTTGGAGCTTGGTTCCTTGGTGATGGCCCTTCAGGCAACTGCTCACCTACAGCAATGGATACATTTAAGATGAAACATTCGTTTGGGTCATACTCTTTACCAGCTTCCTGCAGTTCTTTACAGTACTCCCCTAGGTTGTCTTTGAAGCTTTCAAGCTCTCGAAGGGACAAATATGTAGGAGACATAAGTAAACTATCCAGACCATACTGCAAGAAGTTACTAGATGACAAAGGGTTAGGAAAACCAAGGAAGAGAACTCCTCTACCTCGAGAAAGGTAGCCAACTTTGGCAATACGGGAGAAGGCTTTGTGGACTTCAACAGTCTCCCGACAGTGTTTGATGATATGACGGCAAGTGCTACCAATTCTTCCATACAGGCAGCTTTCTTTATGAATATCCCAGTCCTCCCTGCGACAATTTCGAGAGCAGTAATAGGTGTAACAGCTATGGCAGGATTTAAAATAAAGGCAGGCATTGAATAGGGTTTCTGTCCTCCGGCATTTGTTGTTAGAGCACATCATTGTATCATCCTCATCTGGGCTCTGATCAGGGGAACACTCGTCTGCACTCTTCATTACATCACTTGCCCCATCTATATCTCGAAAAGCATCAGGATTCATTCGGATCGAGGTGGGTTGTTTGTCCAGAGGAGCTGCTTCTTCTGTGCCTGTCTTTGAACTCTTTCTGGACAAAGACACTGCTTCTTCCTCATCAATTAACTTCTTTAGTTGGTCCAGAATGTCTTCACTTGCCCTTCTGCTGGGTGGCTTATAGTCAGTCACAAGATCAGCCAGAAGTTCATCAAGTTGTTCAAGACTTTGCTGAAGTGAAGCATTGTCATGTGTCTTCTCTTTGGCTGAGCTTTCAAAGTCCCGATGAATCATTTCTGGACTCTCTGTGCTTCTGGTATCAAGAATGTCCCAACTGGCAGATCGTCCTTCAGCCTTATTAAGGCTACTTGATCGAATGTCATTATCTGTGATTGTTATTTCAGGGGTGACAAACCAGAGTTTACTGGAGCTGCTCTTTGATATCTCTGTTGGGCTTTTGTCAATCAGTGAGTTGTCAGACATTGACAAGGCTGCATAGCGTCTTGGTGAACTAGAGAGATTAACAACCACTGGTTGTGGTTTTTCACCAGCAGATCTCTCGGGCTTTCTGGAGTCAAGAAGATCATCATAACTCTGACCTCGCTGTACAGGAAGAGGCTGTTCTCTTTCCACACGTGAGTTCAGAATATTGTCCCAAGACCTTGAGTAAGATTTGGAATCTGTACCAAATCTTTGAGGTTCAACACATGGGTTGGTATACCACGGAGTCAGTGCAGGCTCTTGTTGTACTCTTGTTGGAGTGACTTGAGATGCATGAGAGGGAGGATTGGTGGTGTAACCAGATGCATCTGAACCATACCAGTCATCTGTTTGTGAATGCATTACTCTAGCATGTCTTCTGCCTTCAGTGTAATATGCCCTAGCTGGGACATGGTGCTCTGGTGGCATTGCATACATCTCACTGGAATAATAAAACCTAGGTGGAGCAGTCTGAATTTGATAAGACCTTGGATCATCCCCATAAAATATTCTTGTTGGAGGTGTCTGTATGATATATGGCCATGGTTCATTTGCTGCATAGGGTTTTGGATACCCTGTCTTCATAGAGTATGAATAGGGCTCCATTTCAGAATAATATGGTCTTGTAGCTACAGCATGCACTATTCGAGTTCTTGGATCTTGCACAAATTGGACTTTTGGAGTATATGCTTGTCCAGGTGTGTAACGTTCATCATGAAAGTAAGAACTTGGTTGAGGAGGAGCAGTAGTAACATATCCCCCTGGGTCATCTGCATAAAAGAACTTAGTTGGCACATTAGGACTAGAGTGAGCTCTGCGTTCTCTGCCATAGAAATCACCTGATGAAGGCATCCTCTGCAAGGAAATCTCCATAGGTTGTACATAACTACTTGGCATGCTACGGGAATATTGATAACTTTGTCGACTTTCTGTAACAAATGAGTCAGTGGGAGTAGGCGTTCTAGAATATGAGAAATGACGTGGCACAGTCAGGCTCCTAGTCCCTGCACTGTGGTGTCTCTGCCAGGGTATGTCCATTTGAGGTGTGGCATTTTTCCGTCCTGAATGATGTAATGTTGCATCATCAGGCTTGATGTCAACCCGACACCTGACATGAGGGCTAGTTGCTGGTTTATCCAGACCTTCATCCTCAAAATTATCAGCAGTGTAGTGAGGAGAATATCGACTACTGTCACCCATTTGTGGCTGCAACTTAATGGGATGTACTTCTTGCATATGAGCCCTGGTTGCTGCATAGGAGGGTTCCCTATGTGGTGATACTTCTGGTCTCCGACGGGAGTCTCTATAATCCCTTTGGAACTCTCTGCCCTTCCTTCCTGAAGATGATGATCCTTCAAGAGACACGGCAGTGAAAGTTGTCTGGACTCGAGGTGCACTTTTTGACCTGGTCCTTCGTTTTTGTTCAGGGACAATTACCTCACTGGCCATATCTGTTGTCACTGGCTGAGGAGTCAACCTGTGACTAAAAATGTCAGGAGCAGAAAAACGGTACCTCTGCCGGTGGCCCAACACATTCCAGGCAACATCTTGGTTGGATGCCTGCCTATCCCCTTTCCTGTATGGAGAATCCATAGGATATTTGTGTGATTTGGGGTACTCCAGTGACTTATAGTCAAAAGTACGGCAGTGTCTCTTATTGTCTTTGCTTTTACCGTCCTCCAGTGTGTTGGAATTTATACTATCACATTGTTTGGAAGATTGTAAGGACTTATAGAGTGAAGAAATGGGGATCACTTTTATGTCTTGATGCACCGTTGATACCAGTATGTCAGGTGGGTCTGTGCGTGTCATCTTAAAGGGATTCCTCTAGTTTTCTCCATCAAGTTGCTTTAATGTTGATGTTGCCTGGAGAAAAACAAAGAATTTCAGTCACATTTTGTGCAAACATTAATAACGAAAATTTATATTAAATTCTGCAAACTATTCAGCCTTCTAGGACTGATCAGTACTACAAATTTAGTCGAGCAAAATTGTACCGCTCTAAATCATGGAATTGAAAAAGGTCATCAAATTTTTTCTCCATTTCAAGATTAACTTTCCTTGTGAACAACTTGGAATAGAGTTGCTGCTGACACTGATGCAGCTAGTGAGATGCCACTTAGGCAACTACTTAACTAATAAGATATTGAGGGTGGCAACAATCAGTTGGGGGGCAGCAGGGAGGGGGCCCCCGTTATCTTCAATCGAATTTCCCACATTGACTAAAACTTAGCAATCCCCAGACCCATGCGTAGCTGTACACACACACACACACACAATGCACAAAGACACATATCTGTCCACATCGACCCGACCCTCCAAAATGCATATGAACACATGCCCTCCCAGAGCCAACACTGGAATGCAGCCAGCCTGGCCCCAGATCACCAGCCAACCAGTATGGGGTCTAAATAGTGAGTATGACTGTATGAGAACTAGAGTGCTATTAAAACTGAGCGGACAGATGCGAGATGAGCAGGTCACCCACTGCCCATAACACGAAGAACCCGGGACCCATGCAAACAGCTTGCATGGGTCCTGGGCCCACTTTTCTTATTCTCTCTTCTTCTGTACACCAGAGCACCGCTGCTTCAGTTTTCAGGCCCCTCTTCTGTGGAACCAGCTTCCAGTTTGGATTCGGGAGACAGACACTATCTCTACTTTTAAGATTAGGCTTAAAACTTTCCTTTTTGCTAAAGCATATAGTTAGGGCTGGACCAGGTGACCCTGAATCCTCCCTTAGCTATGCTGCAATAGACATAGGCTGCTGGGGAATTCCCATGATGCATTGAGTTTTTCCTTTCCAGTCACCTTTCTCACTCACTATGTATTAACAGACCTCTCTGCATTGAATCATATCTGTTATTAACCTCTGTCTCTCTTCCACAGCATGTCTTTTATCCTGTCTTCCTTCTCTCACCCCAACCGGTCGCAGCAGATGGCCCCGCCCCTCCCTGAGCCTGGTTCTGCCGGAGGTTTCTTCCTGTTAAAAGGGAGTTTTTCCTTCCCACTGTTGCCAAAGTGCTTGCTCATAGGGGGTCATATGATTGTTGGGTTTTTCTCTGTATCTATGCAGCACCTTGAGGCGACTTATGTTGTGATTTGGCGCTATATAAATAAAATTGAATTGAATTGAATTGAATGCAGACCACCTCCATGGAACCAGGGGCCTAACCAGAAAATCTGCGACCCCCGCATCAGAGCCCCAGGTTGAGCTCCTGGACCTGCAAAGAAGAGGCAAGCCACCCGGCCTGGGGCCAGCACCCATCTCCAGGCCCCTCCAGGCCCCAGGAATCCGCTAGACACCCATAGCCCTAGAGACCACCCCCAGCCACCTGCAATGCAGGCAGGGAGAGGGCACTACAGTCGACAACTATCACCAACTAAGTAATGTACTTGATCAGTGGGGACCAGAGATAAATAAAAGAAACAAGATGATAACAGTAGATCTATACGTAAAATTCTATATTGAGTTATACAGAATCTGTTTTTTTTAATTATCCTTTCATGATTATAGTTTTAATTAGTGATGTGTAAGGAAGTAAGATGTATATGTGACGTATTTACTTTCCTAGCAAATTCACTTACGTCACCTAAGCTACACAACTACGTGGGGTTGGGATATAGACACTAATTCATATGGATAGGTCCTCATATGGATGGGTCCTGTTCAGCGGTTCTCTGCCAGAACCTATATGACCAGGAACACAAGATCATATAGCATGCATATAGTTATCTGTTGTGTGCATATAGTTATCTGTTGTGTTCACTGTTCAGTGTGTGCATAGTCTGTAAGGCACAGTTGGAGCATCCTTTGTCCTGTGTAGTGTGTTCTATGTATACTTTTGTATTGTATAAGTTGTAAATTGGTGCTTTTAGTCATTTTGAAGGTGTGTAAGCATATTTGTATCTTGAAGTTTTGGTCTGGATTGATGGAAAGACTTCGCTCCCACTTTGTGGTTGGAAAGGAAATTGAATCATCATTTTAATAATAATATTTTTGATAACAATTTGGGGGTACAGGTAGGGCTGGGCGATATGGCCTAAAATTCATATCTCGATATTCTTTAGCTGGATGGCGATATACGATATATATCTCGAAATTTTTTAAACCCATAAAGTAAGAACAAAAAGAGAGTTCTTAGTCAAAGCTGTGTCCCAGATGTTGTTTTTGTGCATAACAAAACGCTCACAATTGTGCAGTCAAAATGTAAGCTAACAGACGCTGAGCATAATAACAAAGCCAGACAGATTTCGCAGCTGCTCTGTTCCCAAGTTCTACTGCGTGACTGACAGCCTTGAGTTTTAAATCCGCTTCGTAACCGTGTCTCTTACAGGTGCCATTTGTGGTCCTTATACGCACACAATACGGTAATATTACGTTGAAGAAGGTATGCATTACTCTGTGAGGCTCCAGACTATGGTAGCCATAATGCTCCAACAATCCATCAAGCGGTGTGGCTTCGTATCTTACCAAAGTCGTACTAAAGCATTTTTGACAGATTGCTACCACATAAAATCGGTTTGCAGTCAGTAAGCACAACCAGAATTCATACATAAGGCACACTGTCGATTTTTGAGAAAATGAAAGGATTTTAGTGTAAGGTTATAGTTCAAAAAATACAGTACACGAGTTTTGTAAGGTAGTTTGTTTCGGGGCAGGAGGCTGGGAGACTTCGCGGTCTGGGATACAGCACTCTTCACACCCTCTTCATTTTGCACTTTATGGCGCTGTTGTAAATAGTGAAAATACTAGTAGTGCTAGCTGCACGGCGTCAACATGTTAATGACGTAACCACTAACCGCAACGCTAACGCGTTGACACTGTGCAGCCCCATGTAAGGGGCGATCCACGGTAACTCATAAATGGAGATTTGCCGCGTTAATACAGTTATGGAGTTAACGTCATTTTAACGAGAGTAACACTGCAGCACTAAAATAGTAATCTCCAAATGTTTTCTTTTTACCGACCAGCTGCTCTTTGATAGCTGCTGTGTCCATCTTGTCGTTACCTGTAGGTGAAGCGATGGGGAGGGGGAGTTGTGTTCAGTGAAGGAGAGAGGCGAGGCCGAGTAAAGCAGCGTAGAGACAAAGGTGGATGAAAGAGAGGCAAAATTGCGGTTCCACTATATCGATATAAACGATATTGTCACATCTCTTATCTCATATAAAAATATATTGATATATTTAAAAACTTGATATATCGCCCCGTCCTAGGTACAGGAATGTAATAATTCATAATCAAGTTCAGTTCATTGGGATTAAATCTTTCCTGTTTGATAGATTTCAATTCCTGATATTCAAGAAACTTACTTTTGCTGATGAATTTCTGAAATGAAACAGAGTTTCTATCTTGAATAACATGCAACGGAAATTTGGTATTTCTACACCACCATTGTGTTTTGGCTTTTGTAGAGTTTTAAGACTTATTTGTGGAAATTCTTCCCATGAGAAATATAGGTAAAGTTTTCCAACATGTAAGACCATTTATAGTAGAGGAATATGGTTCAACTGTACCATGTCTGAGACCCTGGGAGAAAAATAATTATACCTAAATATCTAAATGTTACCTGACTATAGTGACACAGTGGAGGTGTTCTAAAAATTAAAATTCAGAGGCAACTGTTGATTTGCTCCATTTGATGGAGTAGTTTGATATAGATGAATACTTTTCTATTAATGTGATTGTCCTCAGAAGATAGGTTTGTGTGTTACCAAGGACAAATAATACATCATCAGCATATAAGCTTATCTTACGGTTTGTATTTTCTTTTAATATTTACATTTGTGTCGGACTGCTGCTGATAATGACTCAATGAAAATGACAAAAAAGGAAGTGGCAGAGTGAATAGCCCTGTCTGGTGCCCATTTGTAGATTGATCTTACTTTCCAAAGCTCCAAAGTAAGCAATAATCTATTACATTTATTAGTTTGCATGTGTTAGTGGCTGAGTATCTGCTCCTGATAAAACCTGTTTAGTCAGGGTGTATTATAAATGGAGTGATTTTTTTCTTAATCTTCTTGCAAGGGCTTTGCAAAGTATTCTGTGGTCTAGATTTATGTGTGACATTGGGCAGTAGCTGGATGGTAGTCATTAGTCATGTATCTTTGCATGGTTTAAGAAGTAGACTAATGATGGTAGGGTTCTTAAACTTAAGCTGGTTAAACTTAGAGGTGAGGTGGAGGTGACTTGTACCTCGGCTGCAGAAGAGGATGGGGTAGCATCCTCACCTGGGACAGTGCTAGGGGAGCGGATAGCCATCATTTAATCATCATTTAATTGGGGCTGCTGTAGCTCAGTAGGTAGAACAGGTCACCTAGTAATCAGGAGGTTTTCCAGGAACACCCAGTCAAGTCATAAGCAGAAAGAATAAACTGAAAGAATAAACTGTTGAAACAGACAGGCATAACATTACATGGTTTTGAACTACTAATGCTGCTGAGACCAGTCGGGAACAAGTACAACTTATTGCCAGCAATGTGGACCAAGCTCTCACGACAATGGCTTGTAGTAAATACTCTGTACCCTGAAGGATGTGTTTTATGCCTTCAGGTTCACAAAGCACATGTAGACTGGTTGGGAGAACTCTCTGCAGACTCAAATATCCTCAAGAGGAAAAAGAGCTGGTCCAGTGTTCTACTACCAGGAAAAAGACCACCGAAGCTGATGTTCCAATAGGACAAAGTCTCCTTTCTAGTACCTTGGCATTGACCTTCTTAGGGAGGCTGAGTAGTGTGATGCCCCTATAGTTGGAACACTGTTGGTGATCCCCCTTCTTAAAGACAGGAATCACCACCCTGGTTTCCCAAACAAAAGGTTCTGCTCCAGATTTCCACGTGATATCAACCAAGACAGCCCTACAACA